GGTTCAAGCCATTCTCCTGCCTCAGTCTCCTGAGTAGCTGGAATTACAGGTGCCCACCACCACACCCAGCTAATTTTGTATTTTTAGTAGAGATGGGGTTTTGCCATGTTGGCCAGGATGCTCTCGATCTCCTGACCTCGTGATCAGCCTGCCTCGGCCTCCCAACGTGCTGGGATTACAGGCGTGAGCTACCGCGCCCAGCCCCCTTGATCTTTATAACTGTCAATGCTGGTGTGTGTTTGCTGAGGAAAAGGCGTAAAAGAGGCTGCCTGAAGAGCAGATCATTCCTCTCTGGCTTCAACCATGGGGTGAGAAGAGCTGATGTAAGGGCCTGGAGGAACCCACTACTCTTCTCCATTTGGCTCACTCAGCTACCCCAGCCTTCAGGGAACTCCCCAGGGTACCATAACCGGTGTAAGACCCCTGCCCCTCACCCAACCTGTGATGAGAATCAAGGGGTAAGGGCCCGTGGGCGTGGCTCTAGCCTAGGAAGGTTCCTGTAAGTAGGAGGGGGGTGGGGAAAGATGGCTGCAGCCCATGGACCTTTGGCCTCCTTTGGGGATGATCAGGGCCCTGATAGTTCCCAGAAAAGTGGCTCATGCCGGCTGGGATTGGGTTTTACTCTGTCCAGAATAAAACTTGGATCCTGTCCAGAAAGGCCCATCCTTCATTCTGAAAGCTCAGCCATGACAAACGCCAGGAATCCTCCCCTGCCTCCATTCTAGGTTGGGGCTCAACCCAGCTGTCTCTAGAGACCGTCAAAGAAAAAGTTTTTTTATTAAAAAAATCAATAACCTTAGCTAAAAACTCTTAGATAAAAGAAGTGAAAAAATGATTGCTGATTTATGCAGTTCAACTGAGCTCTGCTGGACCTTGCCAGCCCTGTGTTGAGGGCAAGCTGCGGGAGGTGCTGACCTGCACTCCAAGTGTGTGCTGGGCAGGGAGGGGAGGGCCTTCCGTGTATCTCCCGGAACTGTCACTGCCCTGGCCAGGGTGATGACTGTGAAGGAGGCTAGCTACAGGGACTTTTTTTTTTTCTTGAGACAAAGTCTCGCTCTGTCGCCCAAGCTGGAGTGCAGCGGCGTGATCTCGGCTCACTGCAACTTCCGCCTCCTGGGTTTAAGCGATTCCCCTGCCTCAGCCTCCGGAGTAGCTTGGATTACAGGCGCCCGCCACAACGCCTGGCTAATTTTTGTATTTTTAGTAGAGACGTGGTTTCACCCTGTTGGCCAGGCTGGTCTTGAACTCCTGACCTCAAGTGATGCACCCGCCTTGGCCTCCCAAAGTGCTGGGATTACAGGTGTGAGGAGACTGCTTTTTCTATGGTCGGTGGTGCTGGGTGATGGAAGAATAAGGTAAAGGGAGGGGACCAGGGATGGCCCCTTTGCTGGCTTCTCCCAGGCTTCAGAGGGGTACATGAAGAGATGGGGTATGGGAGCAGGCTCCCCAAAAGGGGTGCTCATTGAGATTTAGGGATGCAGAGGATAAGCTGAAAAGGCTCTCCAGAGCTACTGCCCTAAAGCTGTTCTTTCTCCTGTGCCTTGGAGAGGCAAGCTGGGCTTTAGCTGGCCTTGGGTCTGATGCCTGAGCCACATGGAGCAGCCAGCCGGCAGGGGGTGGGCTGGGTGGCCTCCAGCTAGCTCTTTGGGAACACCCCAACTCTAGCAAGAACCAAGTCTCTTTCCTAAACCAGCCCCTTCCTACCTCTCCTGAAGGGGCAGCAGGAGGAGGGACAAAGTATGGCTTCACCAGGCCCCAGCAGAGCCTGGGCCCATGCATGGCAGCATTAAATGAGACTCCCCTGCAAGGGAATCCATTTCCTTCGTAGCCTGAACTCCCCCTCCCGCTCAGGGTGGCCTTTTGCAACCAACAAGCCCCCACACATCATCAATCCTGTGTCACGTTAAAGGATGCCGGATGTATGGGAGGGTGCCTGGCCTAGCTTCAAAGGCCTGAGGCAGGATGGATTGTGTCCTCAGGCCTGCTGCTGTCTCTTAAAAAGCCAGAGGGGGTGGGCTCAACCCCCAAATGGTCCATAGCACAGTTAGGAGACATAGGAAGAGGTTAGCATGTCCTGCTCTCCAAGAGCTGCTGGCAGATGGCTGAGCTAGCAATGTGGGGGGTGCAGGTAGAGATGGGCACACAGCCAGGGTGCTGGCATGGTGTTGGTAAACGTCCAGCTCTGACTTAGCCTCCAGGGACAGAGAGGCAGGGTACCAGGAAGAAGCCCTGCATTCCCACATCCCACAACCCCTGCAGCCCCTTACCCTCCATGCCTGCGTTCTGGTGGGGATCAGCCTAGATTTGCTGGGGGCTGAGGCGTTTGCTTTGTGTCAGTCATCTTTGATACCTTACAGAGAGCAATTCCATTAAAAAAAGGACAAACACTGCAATTACTTTTGCACCCACCTAATATGTTCCTCACTCCAGTCTGGGAACCACCAGCTGGACAGGAGGAAAGGGCCATTCGCAGGGGAGAAGAACCCCCTCAAATCAATTCTACAGACCTGGCTCTACTCTCATCAAGGGGATACTAGAGATCTAAGACTATGTAAGTGTGCTTGCTGATGCCAGAGAGGAGGGAAGAAGGGAACTTGCAATGGGACAGCTGCTTGAATGTCAGACAAGAATCTGCCCCCACTCTACAGGGTCCTGCTTAGACTAAAAGGTAGACAGAGTGATTCCAGGGGCTGGGGGCCATCCTCTCCTTCTCTATATGAACTCAGGGCCTCCTAGGCTGCCACATGGCGCTGTGTAGGTTGTTAACTGTACAACTCTGGGCAGCACTATTTGTGACTTAGTCCACATGGATATTACCCTGAAGTTGTCCAGTGTGTGACCTGCACAGCTTTATTCAGTGGCACTAACCCAGAAGGCCCTCCCATTTCTAAGGCCTTCTGTCCTCTAATAACCCCAGCACTGGAGAGAGCTGGGATACTGAAAGTTTGTAGTAGTACTAACATCCCCATAGCAACCCAGTGTGATGTCATAAATGGGGGATTAGCACATTCTAATGCCCAATCAGCAGGCCTTTACCCTCCTTGCCCCTTTGCTAAGGGCGCTACAGGGGAGGAAAGAGGCTGAGGCAAAAGAAGCAGCAGAGGAAAGAGGCTGAGGCAAAGAAGGCAACAGAAGAAGCAAAGACTGCAGCAGGGGTGGACTGATGGGGGTGGATGCTCAAACTGGCAGGGAATGGAACAGACAGCCAAGGTGCATAGCTTTCCTGAGCTGTGGGATGATTTCCGGCAAGTAGCTTCCCCAGTAGAAGCCAGTGAGGGCTAAGGGCCTGCAGAACGCTCAGGTTGTTCACACCCAGGCTTGCTTACCGGTTGAGTTGAGGTTTGCTTTTCGGAACAACTCCTTCAGGAAGCCGAGGCCTGTGATTTGGTAATAGACCTGAGTGGGGGGAAGATGGGATAGTCTTTGCAGCTCCCTCTGCAGCTCTGAGGGGGCCAGAGGGAAAGCCCAAGGGAGTGGGGAGGTTGGCATTGGATGGGGAGTATAATTAACACTCTGGATATCCTCTTTTCTTCCAGGAGGGGCTGAAACATGGGGCAGCCGGGTAGGGAGAGAGCGCCTGCAGCCCTCTGCCCCTCTTGGGGCAGGACCTTCTACCTGCTCGGTGGGCCATCTTCACACACTCCTCAATCTTGCGGTGTTCTTCCTGGCATAGGCCTGTGATCTTTCGTGGCAGCATGCCTCCATGAGGCCGGATGAACTGGCTAAGCAGCAGAACATCCTAGTGGAAACCGAAAATAGGGGATGATGGTCAGCTGGGCTTGCTTTTGATGCTGGGAAGCTAGGGCTTCATGGTCTATAGGGGAGGCTGATGTCTCCTGGGAACCTGGCTGAGATCACTTCCTCCACACAGAGCTTTGCACACTGGTCTGCTACCTTCACGCAACAAAAGTTAATCCCAACTCAGTAAGATTTTCTGTACCCCATTACCAACCCCAAAAGCTCCCAGCTTCTCTATGAGTTTTTTTTTTTTTAGGCAAGGGCTTACTCTGTTGCCCAGGCTGGAGTACAGTGGTGTAATCTTGGGTCACTGCAATCTCTGCCTCCCAATCTCTTGCTCAAGTGGTCCTCCCACCTCAGCCTCCTGAGGAGCTGGGATTACAGGTGCGTGCCACCACGCCTGGCTAATTTTTGTAGAGATGGGGTCTCCCTATGTTGCCCAGGCTGGTCTTGAACTTCTGGGCTCAAACAATCTGCCCGCCTCGGCCTCCCAGAGTTCTGGGACTGCACCCCTACACCTAGCCTCGTGAGATCTTCTGATAGACTAGGTTAGAGAACAGAAACTTTTCAAGAAGTATCACCAATCTTTTATGAACCTGAAGCATCTTTCTTGGATAAAATGTCTGCTCAGGTGGGGTTAGGAGGCTGCCATATGTTTCCACACAAGAGGAAAACTTGTAACATTTTAGACCTTAAGGTCTATATACCACAAGCCAGAGTATATGCAAACAGCCCCTCCACCTCTTGCCGTTCCCTCTGAAGTGCTAGAAAGGCATAAAAGCCAAGGAGGATGGAACCAGGGTTGTGAAGTTTAATCTCACATGATCTAGGCCCCCTGTAACCAGATCTGAATGGATTCTTGGGCTTCCTTCAGACCATTACGTGCTCACCAGGCTGCTTGGATCTGTCAAAGGAACAGATACACAGAGCCAGAATCAAGAAAAGGGACCACCTCCCTGCCAGGTCTAAAAGGTTACGATTCCCAGACTGCCTGAGCTCAGGAGTTCGAGACCAGCCTGAGCAACATAGCAAGACCCCATTCTCATAGAATGGCTTAAGGGGTTAAAGAAAACTCACCATTCCCCTCCCTGCAAGTGCCTGGCATGCCAATCTTAGCAGTCAAGTTCCACAAACCAACTTGCTGCCCTGGCAGGCGCCTTGCTGCATAACTGCAGATTTGTTTTAATCACTGGACAGTTCCTGAGGGACCTAGGCCTTCAATTCCCACCCCTGTACTTTTCAGAATCTGATGAAAAGAATTTGGATTGGATTAATCCAGGGCTAATCAACTGGGCTGGAGGCCCCAGCCCTCCACCGTAGGCTGCCAAGCAAGCTAACAGCTTTGTGCAGCTCAGGCTAATGGTGCTCTGAGTGGAAAGGGGTAAAAGGAAAAACAACTTTAGCCTTTACCTCAGACGGGATTAGATTTCTTCTGCTGGAGACAGCCAAGTATGTTTCCTGGAAAAAGCTGGTAGGAAGAGTGCCCTACGGTGGCTGGGCGGGTGTGGGGTTTGCTTTCCTATCAGCAGCTGAGGTTCCAAGGATGCCCACAACCCCACTAACTTCCGCATGGTGAGCAGCTGGAAACATTGCCCCTTGCCTGTGTGCTTGCTTTCTGTTACTCCAGGCGGCCATCAGGAGAAGGGCCCCAGGACAGAAAGAACCCTCCCATCCCTCAGGGTGGCCTCAAGCCAAGGCTTCCAGCCCACAAGATTAGTTGGGTCACTCTGTTCAGATCCCACTGGCATGTGGCTTCTCCTGCTCTTATCACCTGACCAGGATCTCTGCCTTTAGTCATCCTATTCCACAAAGGGGCATAGGGACAACTTACAGGTCAAACTGGCCCAGAGCCTGAATCACCTGAAACCCAAAAATAGGGTGCTTCATGTTACCAGTGAGAGCTCTGAAGAACAAGTAAGGATTTCTCCAGGTCTGTGTCCTTAGTCCCACGCCCTCCCCATCTCTGGGGAGGAGGTAGTGTAGTCATTAGGAGCACAGGCTCTGCCTGGGCTTTCGTCCCTGGAGTTTGTATCCCAGTTCTGATACCAGCTGGGGGATCTGAGGCAAGTTCACTGGCTTCTCCATGCCTCAAATTTCCTCATCTGTAAAATGAGGATGAAACTAGTACCTACTTCATAGGGTTATTGTGAAAACTAAGTGAACTAAAACAGGTAAGTACTCAGTGCCTGACACAGTATGCACTCAATGTTACCTGTTGTTATTATTCACTACTTTCTTCTTTCCCTGGAAACGACTGCACTAGAAGAGCTTGAGCAATCAGGTATCTTTATAGCTCCAATACAGAATGACAGGGTAATGTGTTCCCAGATCACAGTGAGAACCAAGTCTGTTCAAATACACCTTCATCATAAAAGAGGAGAGCCAAACCCAGATCATGATTCTATCCCACAAGAGGACAACCCCTGTGAACTGAGTTAAGGGCCCTAGTGGTCTGAGGCACAACCAGACCACAAACTCAATCAGTGGCTCTCAACCCTGGCTGCTCATTAGAGCCACGGGAGAGCACTGAAAAAATGCTCAGGCCCCACCCCCCGAGGCTGATTCTGCACCGTGACCTCAGTCTCCCAGGCTACTGAAGATGGTGATGGGTCTTCTTCAGAGGGAGAGCTGCAGTGAATGAGACTACATCTACGAAGTGGCTTGGGAGGACCTGGTAGAGCCCATGCATCACTATTTTTTAAAGCTCCCCAGGTGATTCTAATGCGCAGCCAGGGTCGAGAACAACTGGACAAAATGCTCCCATCTCTGGTGGTTCTATGAAATGCAGCAGTAGCTAAAGCGGGGGGACACTGCTCTAGTTAACCAGGGAATCTGAGAGCTTCACAACACACAGAACTGAGTGTCTCTGTACCCAGACTCACGTCATAGTTATACTTGTGCTTCAGGTTCCAACGGCAGATGGGGCACTGGCCAGAGGGGTTAGGAGGATTTGGACTGCCCTTGGGAGTCGCTGTGAGACGGCCTTCAATCTAGGAGACAGAGAAGGAGAGCCAGTGTGAGAGACAGGGCCTGCGTGGAGCCACATTATCTTTGCACAAACCCCAAAATGATGGGAATGCTGGTGAAAGTTTACCTTGGGGGTTCTTGTGGGAGTAGCTAAGAGGTTTCTCTGCCTGAACTGTGGTGTTTACTCTGTAGTTGCTGTATGCTAGGCCTTGAGATAGCTACAGGGATGTGGTTTGGTGGCTTACAGGGATAATGGAAACCATCTGAACTTAATACCAGTGGCAAGAGGGAGGGAGGGATTTGCTGTATCAATTGAATGCTACCTTTCCTTCCTCAAAAGAAAAAACAAAGGTACCAGAACACTATACTTTTTTCCCTCCCTGGCTTTTGGGGGAAAGTAATACATGCACATGGTAAAAAGTTTCAAGTGGCACAGGGATACAGAGTCCAAAGAAAGCATCCCTTCCATCCCACATGTCCTCCTAGGGGGAAACTGCAGTTCCCAGCTTTATCTTACAGAGCTAAGGCTATGCCAGTGGGTCTCAACCAGAGGTGATTTTGCTTCCCAGGGGACATCTGGCAATGTCTGGAGACATTTTTGATTGTCATGTCTAGGGGAGGGAGTGCTACTGGCATCTAGCAGGGATGTTCTAACCATCCTCCACTGCAGAGGACAGCCCTCACAACCAGGAATTACTCAGCCCCAAATGCCAGGAATAGCAAGGCTGAAAAAACCCGGGTTGTGCCATATAAGCAGATATGCAGGCACTCCTTCTCTCTTACAAAAGAAAGGAAAAACTAACACGATACAGATGGGAGGATACATTTCCCTGTCATGCTCCTTGCTTTTATCATTTTGGATGCCACCTTTAAACCATGCTGAGGCCAAGTGTGAAATGACCTCCCTATCGCTGCTGTATCCTGTGATACAGTTTTGGAATTACTAAGCGCAATAAACCAACGATCTGGGAATTAGCTCCAGTTGCAAGAGGGGAGTTTAGAGAGCCTTGCTGGCTGAGGCCATGGGTTATGAGAGTGAGGCTGGGATGGGTCTGAGAGGCTTTGGGAGGGAAGCAACACTGTCTCTTGGGGGAGAAGTGGCATAGGGGAAAGGGGCTGGAAGTACTACTTGGCCGTTCAGGGCACAGCTACCCTCCTTCTGCCACGGCAATCACAACTATGCCAGAAACTGAGATGTTAGAGAAAATTCCCAAGTACATGGTAGGCCTTGGGAGGCGGGTTGCAGTGGGTCAGGGGTTCGGGGGTGGGGAGAATTAACATTTATTGACTCCCCATTATATGTGTAGCTCAGTGTTAAGAATGGTTCACATATATTAGTTCACTTAACCTCCAGAATCTAGTGAGGTAGGTGTCTGATCTTATTTCATAGGGGAGAGAATAATACCCAGTCAGCAATGGCCATGCTGCTAAAGGCATGGATGGGCTCTTCCCTCCCCTGAGGGCTCTCATAGGCCACAATGCCTCCACATCTATTCTACAAACAGCAGACTCATGACCCACATGAAAAACGCTCTTTATACTCAAAAGTCAGATGTATTTCTTTCCTCCAGTGTGGAGTTTATAGAGTGAATGCTTGTTTTGGCTTTGAATCAAGAAGCCTAAAAGGTATCCTAAGGGGACTGGGGCGGTCCCCTAAAAAGAACTGTTTTGAGGCTAAGTAGTGGAAAGGCAGAGGGAGCATTCTAGGGGGAAACCTAATGGACTTGTCCTGGGAATAAGACTGCCTTGGGAAGGACTGAGCTTGGCTGGCTACCTAAAGGGTTAAATCTCTGGTTGACATGGAAGTTACAGAGGCCTCTGGGAGCTCTGTGGAGTCGCTGAGGATTTCTTGGAGGCATAGAAGGCCATGTGAAAACAACGTTGTTGTCTTTTAAGGATTATAGGATAATCTAGGCCCCATGACTCCCCAAGGAAGGGAGGTGGGATGGGCCCAGGGAACGAAAGGGGGGAGTGCGTAGATGAAGAATTGTTCCAACTTTCTTACCAACAGACAAGCCAGGGCGCCAGCTAGTAAGGCCAGGGCCGGGAGAATGTCACTTTTTAAATGCATCATTTAAGGAGTAGTTTAGTCATTCTAGGCAGAAAAGAAAGGAACTGAGGTCCAGGCTCTTGGCTCTGGGTCAACCTACTTTGGCCCTCTAGGCGTGCAATAATGCCTTAGTTTCCCCGTCGGGAAACTGATTCATCACCCGCCAAAGAGCTTATCAGCAAAGGCCTCTGAGACCTTGCTATACAAAAGGCCACTTTAATCAAAGAGCGGATACCTCAGCCCAGGCATAGCAACTGTTCCTGATTAACCACACTATAGCGCACAGCTTGAAAAATAGTAGACTGTGGAATTTATGGTCACTGAGGGAGCTGATCCTGGAGCTGGGCGTCCAGTTTGGGCCCCTCCCTCCCTCAGAGGAGCGGCCAGGCAGCTGCAAGTGTTAAAGAGGTTATACATGGCCAACTCAATGATACTTACTATAGTTGTCTTCCCTTCTTGGATCTCCACCACTACAGAGATAAAGGGGGAAAAATTAGGTCAGCCATTTAATAAGGAACAGAGAGTTTCAAATAACAGCTCAAATTCTACACATTTGGAAAAAAGCAGCCTTCCGTCTGTACTCTCTCATGGTCTCCACCTGGAACAGAAAGCACGCAGGGTTCACCCCATTAGTGCCAAGGCTCTATGCCCTTGAGGCGGGGTAGGGGCAAGCCCAGGATGCCCAGGTAGCATCACCTCTCTGGTATGGGATTAAGGAGTTCCACACTGTTTTTGCCTTTCTATGCAAAGATTTATCTTGGTTCTATCCAAAGGAATTGGTCAGATCCTGTCCTACAGTGGCTAGCAATAAAAGAGGGTGGGGTAGTGGTATGTAAAAGACCTTCAAAAGTACCCAAGCGGTGTGTGTTCCTGCACAAAGAGAATCAGATAAGAATGGTTTCTGCTTTGAAGAATTAACAATGTAAGATACAGCACTGAACTAACACTATTCCAGTGGCACCCAGTGAATGAGCAAAAAGACAAGTTCACTCCTAGAACACATCCTGAGGGTCGTGAGTGAAATCCTCTCCTCCCTGCAGGGTTGCATTTTATCATCTATACTGGAGAGGGTTGATGGACAGGTAGGAATAACGACCATGAAGATACTAGGTCCAAGAAGAATTTCAAGTATTGCCATTCCAAACGGAGAGGGATGCCCTCCGTGCTTTGCCTATTTAGGAGAGGCAGTCAGAAGAGAACCTGAAGGCAAGACAACCAGTTGCACACATCTGTCAGGCTAAATACATTTCCTATCTTACTACCTTACCTAACCAAGATGCAGAATGACAACTTCAACCATCATTCAAAGAAGAACCGAGCCAATAGCCCACATTTCGGCTAATATAATCAGATAGTTCTTGGAGATACTCCCTTGCTGACAGTTTCTTTAGAAAGACAGAAGCCAGACTGGGTACAGTGGCTCATGCCTGTAATCCCAGCACTTTGGGAGGCTGAGGTGGGAAGAAATACTTGAGCTCAGGAGTTAAGAGACCAGCCTGCGCAACGTGGCAAAATCCTACAAAAATTACTAAAATTAGCCAGGCATGGTGGCATGCACTTGTAATCCCAGCTACTTGGGAAGGTGATGTGGGAAGACTGCTTGAGCCCAGGAGGTTGAGGCTGCAGTGAGCCATGATCATGCCACTGCATTCCGGCCTGAGGGACAGAGCGAGACCCCATCTCGAACAAACAAACACACACCAATAAAAAGAGAAGGGACCATCTAAGGAAAAAGGCAGTTGTAACCCAACCAGAGGCCCATGGCAGCATCTGTGATCACTGAGCTCTGTGACCAACACCTAATTGGACACAGACTGCTTGGAATTGTCCCTTATTTGTCTTCTGGGCAACCCATTCATACTCACTGCTCCAAAACAACCAACCTGACAGCCTCTCAGTGTCCAACGCCAGACATACAAAGGAATAACAATGACTAGAAAAGCCCTGAGGCTTTCTCTAGAGAACACTGTAGTTATTAATCAATTCAAAGACAACCTAGGTTTTTCAATGTAAAAGAAAATGCGTCACCCCACACACAGATCTACTTGTACGGAACACAGACCAACCCAAGAATGGGATTTGGGTGAGACTCAACGTGGTCCTCAGTCTGGAAGCCAGCACAGCTGCAGAGGGAAGGTCACTGCAATACGTCAGTCTGCAGAATCAACCTACAAATGGAGGATGGGCAGAAATGAAGGGAGGTAGGAGGACGGCACATCCCCAGTCCAGTAAGGGTTCCCGGCACCCTGCAACTCTGCAAATTTGCAAAAACCAAGTTGAGAGACAACCTAATCTGAGCAACAAGTAGGGGGGAAAGTTTCCAAGAATCCCCAAAGGAAACAAAAGGAGAGACACGTTCTGGTACCACTGGAGTCAGCAGAAGAACAATGCCCTGAAACACAAGTGGATAAACATGTGGTTCCCTGCTTGGTGGAGGCACTTGGGTCCTAACCATGAGGTAAACAAGTCTAACAAAACACACATCACTCCCGGCAAAGTACCAAACCCTGAAGTCATCCCACTGGCCCCTGGAAAACAGATCAAAGCCCATGGCAAGCTCCACTGTTCACAAGCTCCCCCTCCACACAGCAACCCTGAGCCAGCGAATCATCTTACTAGAAGCCAGTGGGTAAAACAATAGGCAGATGCTTATCTAACAGAGACAATTTGTCAAACCAGAAGGAATGACCTGAGAACTCACGTTGAACTGACATCGATCAGGGTGGTGTCTTAGTGCAGGGGAAGAAAGCCCTGTTGGAGCCTAGGGAGGCCCTTAGTAGATTTTAAGCCTCTGGAAAGAGGAGATAGGAATCAAAATAGTATTGATTTACAGCGTGCATACAAAAATGTGTCAAAACCAAACAAAACCTGAGATCCATTTTGTTCCTGGCTGCCTCCCTATTCAAGAGAAGTGGGGGTGGCTAAGAAAAGCTGGACTGAGAGATTTAGGCACTAACAGAAAACTTGTTTAGAAAAAGATGGAATCACCCTTGTGTTCTGAGATATGGCAGTATCTAGTAAGCTAAGCGAAGAGATGAAGCAGTTTTCTAAACTAGAAATAAGGGCCAAAATCTTTCCAGATAAGCACTTCTCATACACATGAAATAATCTGTCCCAAATGAGGCAACACATTTGCTGGGCACTTGTGGACTGTACAGCTTCGTTCTACCTACTGTGGAGAGTTACAGTAGAATAAGGGCCGCAGTCTTTGCCCTAGAGGAGGAAAAGAACTAAACTCTGTATGGGAACTTGACTGTTATAAAGTCCATGCCTCGTAAAAAGGTCCTTTGAGTACTTCAGTAAATACTTGCCTAGGATGGAGTCCAAGATAACTGAATTATAATAGTCTGGAACAAATGGCATTGTGGTGAGATTGCAGTGAATGCAAAAGGAGGAGAGGGGGTGACACCTATAGTCTCAGCTACTCAGGAGGATCACCCGAGCTAAGGAGTTAGAGGCCAGCCTGGGCAACACAGCAAGACTCTGTCTCTTAAACAACAACAAACATGGAAAATGCAAAAAACCTTGATGGCCACATGAACAGATATAGTGAACTGCAACCATGTAAAGACCCAACTGCTTAGTAAAACAGGAAGTGAAAAAGGATGAGGAGTGCACGGCACTGCTGAAGTGCCCAGAGACCAAGGTCCCTCTTGGAGAGGATCTGTGGAAACCAGGGCCCAAGCAGAGCAGGAAAGACTGGAGTAACTGATGGCTGGGCAGTGGCCCTAATAGTCTTATGTAGGGTCAGGGAGAGGAGTACCATGTTTGGGATGTGTGCTTGCATTTCTGGCCACTGACTACCTTTCGCAAACACCTTCCTGCCTCAAGCCCTGCTTCCTCCAGTTCATCTTTAATTCTACCATTGAAGTTTCTGGTTCCCTCATCACCTCCCTTTCTTTCCCTTGGACCCCTGAAGGAACGTCCCTCTGACCTATGCTTCAGAATGAGGAGTTAGCAGGTTACTCTGGACTATGTCCCCTGAATTCTTTAAAGACGTCAACTCACTCCTCTCTCAAAGCTTTTATATGGGACTGCCCAACCTACCAGGCATATCCTTGTCTGAAATGTTAGGTCTTCCAGAAGGCCTTCTTAACTGACTGAAAGGGATGAAGCAAATTCCCTTTGGCCTTCGCTCAATTCAATATACCCTTCTCTAAGTGGCTGACAGATCATGACTTAATTTATATAATTTTTTTTTTTTTAATACATTTCCTTCACAAGGACTCTGAGAGGGATAAGGGAGGAACGAGATCCAACATAGTCTTTGCTAAATCTGGCAGTGCCAACCATAAAGGCACTAAACGGTCTTTGGCAAGTTAACTGCTAAGAGCTTTCAGGGAAGGAGGGAACAAGGAAGGCCCTGCCATGGAATACCAAGGTGATGTTACTGGTGGAGAGGGAAGAGGGCTGGCTCTACTTCCAATTCCATCACTTATTGGATGCTGGGCAAGCTATTAAACCCCTTGGGACTGCATTTCCTCATTTATAAAAATGAGGACAGTTAATATCCACCTTTAAGGTGTTTTTGAGAAGACTGAATAAATGTATGTGGAAAACCTTGCACAGTATTTGAAGCAGGCACAGAAAGTCACAATTTCTATTTTTGTCCTCCTTCAGTCTTGCTTTTTCCATAATAATCTTTTTTTGGTTTTGTGTATCTCTCTGGTCAAACTTTAAACCAGGCTTTCTCAACAGCAGCAGGACTGCCATTTTGGGCCAGAAGGTTCTTTGTTGTGGGGAACTGACTTGTGGATTATGTTTAGCAGCATCCCTCACCTCTACCCCCCAGATGCCAGTAGTACCAGTTGTGACAACCAAAAACATCTGCAGACATGGCCAATTGTTCCTGGGGGACAAAATTGCCCCCCTAGTTGAAAATCACTGGTTTAGACTGAAAGTATTCATAGACAGGAAAATTGGTGCTCAGTCCTCATAAGCTGACTAAAATCATGTATTATTATCTGACACTTCGAAAAGATGCTTGAATATTTTCAGCAAGAGACCCAGCTTCTTTCCCACAACTTTAAATTCTATGTGTACGATATTGTTTGAGTGTCACATATACCAGCTGAGACTAGTCAAAATTAGCTATATGTACAATACTTTATGCCTTACAAATAATGGATAGAATAGCAAAATAAAATGTTTTCATTTAAAAGCTTTGAAGACAGGTGAGTCTTAAGAATATAGAATATGGCAATGCCTTCATGTAGAATCACATTAATTCAACCTAACATTTAGATGAAGGACTTCAGAGACCCATTTGATTTACAGTCCATCCATTTTTCATGTTTTTAAAGAGGTAGGGGTTCTCACTATGTCACCCAGGTTAGACTCCAATTTCTGAGCCCAAGTGATCCTCCCACCTTGGCCTCCCAAAATGCTGGGATTAAAGATATGTACCACTGTACCTGGGTTACAGTCCATCATTTCACAAAGTCTCCAACTGAAAAAATTCTTTAAGTCTAA